GCTCATATTAAGGGCATGCGTCCCATGAGCTTTTATGCGTCCCACGACTATAATAGGCGTCCCATGAGAGTATATGCGTCCCAAGAATGGATATATGTAAGTAATTAAGAAGGGATTTATGGGAAGCTTATAGAGGAATAGTGGATTTGGAAGCTTATCGGAAAGCTTTGAAGCAGGGCTGATCGAAATAAAAATATTTTTTATTTCGAATCGAAACGAAATAAAAAAATTCCTATTTCGTTTCGGAGCGAAACGAAACGAAATGAGCTTGTTTCGGACGAAACGAAACGAAATAAACGAAATAAAATAAAAATAAAAAAATTTTTATTTTTCAGTTCATAAAGGCTTTTTATCGATATTTAAATCATAGATATGCACCCCAAGAGAGATGCGTGACAAAAGCAACCCAGAAAGACGAGTGAGTCCTATAGATCCGCCGATATCCCCATTAATCCCCTTAAATCGACATATATCCGCCTTAATCCTCCGATATCCTATTAAAATCCATCGATATATCCCCCTCCCAAAACCACCTATATTCACTTAATCCATAAAATCCAAATATACACAAAATCCACCTAAGTATATCCCCTTAATCTCGCCCATACCACAATATCACCTTAATCTTGTCAAATCTCAGCTCAATATCACTAATCCCTCGAGATCTCTTTTAATCCACCGCACAAAGTAATAAAAATTTTAGTATAACTCCAATTTGGAGTACAACTCCAGCATATTCAAATCTAGGTTTCAAAAATTTTTATTATTTTTAAATCACAAAAATGAAGATTTCTGAATGGTAGGTTGGGCGACAGAAGGCTGGTCTGCTCTAGCAAACCCCGTAAAAGCTTCCTTCCTTTTTAGCGCCGCAGGCGAAAATTTTTTGAATTTTGGAGCTCAAGAAGCAAAATTTCTTCCATTTTCAGCGCCGCAGGCGAAAATTTTTTAATTTTAGGCTGCTCATAAGACAGAAATCACTAAAAAATTAATGATTATTTCAATAAATTCCCGTCATTAGGGGTGCATTTTCTCACTTTTTTTTTGTTTCGTTTCGTCCGGAATTTTGTCTATTTCGTTTCGAAACGAAACGAAATAAATTTTTTTCTGTTTCGTTCCGAAACGAAACGAAATGGAAAAAAGGGCACGAAAGAGCGAAACGAAACGAAACGAAACGAAATTTCGATCAGCCCTGCTTTGAAGCTTCTTCGGGAAGCTTATAGAGCTTGGGAATAAAATTAATTCGGTAATAGTGTCGTTGACTGGCCCTAATTTTTCTTCCTCAGGATTTTTCCCCATCTACATATGTAAAGAAAGGTCAAACTTTTTTCAACTCCGATAGTACCTAGGTCTGTATAATAGAATAAACGTTCAGGTATCATGGTGGTACCATAACTTGGCTAGGACCTTAATTGCCAAAAAGATTTTACACGAATAAGTTAACATATTGCGCGTTGTGATCACCCACTCCACGATGGAATAGATCACAACCCACTCCACTTTGGAATAGATCACAATTGCTAAGGTTGGTAACTCATGGCATAAACTGATCATTTGAAGAATAAAGTCTGACAGAGTCCCCCCTCATTTCGAGCCCCCCCCCCCTCTTTTCGAGCCACCCCCCCCCCTCTTTTCGAGCCCCCCCCCCTCTTTTCGAGCCCCCCCTCTTTTCGAGCCCCCCCCCCCTCTTTTCGAGCCACCCCCCCTCTTTTCGTGCCCCCCCCCCATACTCCCCACGCTCCATCTTTTAGCAACAAGCTTTTTGATCATTTTCCCTCATGGGACGATAATCTGGACAAGATTCAAATATTTTTGGTTATTTCCGAGATTATATCTTACCCATATCAAAAATTCACTCAATTATTTTTCTACAAATTCCATTATGTCCCTTCTATATAAAACTACTTTAACAAAATTAGCGCAAATTAATTTTGTGTCGTCGTCACTTTTTGACGAGAAAATACCGGAATTTTACGTCATTGACTGAAACACATTAAAAATAAACTGTTCAATGCTAGACGAGAATTTAAAGAAAATTTACTTATATTTACGTGAAATTGATCAAAAATTTTTGATTTAAATAACCTTACCCTCTTTCTAAATTGATTTATTTTGTTGAACTATTTATTAAACTTTTAAGAAAAAAATTTTTCTTTTGTTCAATTAAATTATAAAATTCTTCTCATTTTTTATAAGTACCTTTCCGTTTTTATTTTTCTGTAAATTTAATAAGTTTCTTATTAGTGATCGGTATTACTTAACGTATACTGATACGGAATACCAATAAATACCGATAACAAAGGCCATAGTACGGTATGATCCGATCACTAGTTTTGATAAAAGTCCATGTAATCGTGTCTCTTTTTCTGACTGAATCTCTATATTTATTGAGGTTATCATTGTTACGATTGAGGTTTAGTCTCTCCCCTCACACTTCACACTCCATACAAGTTTAATTAGTTAGACAGATTTAATTTGCCCTCGGATGGGATTATTAATTGCCCTGGGGGCCTTCATATTAAGGTTCCACACCTTTCGATCCCAGGACCTACAGATTCCACACCTTTCGATCATGTTTACTATCAAAGATATTATGTTCTGAATGTACATGTTTGTCATAACGCGTATCAAGTTATTTATCTTTGTAATTTTTAAATAAGTCTAACTGATCACGTAAAAATCTTGGCGAAATCTCGTCGAATATCTTGGTTATCGTGATCGAGATTTGTCGTGATATCGCATAAAATTATTTTTGAAAGCCATATAACGACAGTCCAAGCCTGGGTGTATGTATAACCTCAACATTTCCCATTTTCAATATTAAATGTATTTTGTCCCCTTCTCTTAAAATTTAAAATTCAGTCACAAACATAAACATTTTTTGCCCAAAAATTGTTATTATTTTGGAATTTTTTCTTCTCATTAAATTCACATTCAATTCATCTTCCATCATTTTTCTTTCATTCCATTCATTTATTAACCGGTGAAGTCATTAAAATTACTACACATCATATGTTGTTCATCATAAGGTCGCGCATTAAATATGTGTGGTGTGAAGTTTTTAATGACGATTGCGTTTGTTCAAAGGCATTTTGGCGCAGATTTTTGTTAAATTTTTAATTTAATTAACATTTCAATTTTTAAAATTTTGATGAGTACAAAACCCCCTACCTTTGCCCTAAAGCTACGGGAAAACATCAAGTTAACATTATATAATATTTAGGGAAATACTTAAAAATAATCCTCGTTAATTAATTTTGCCTCACGGAGGAAATACTAAAATTTTTTATCAGAATTTTTCTAATACTTTCGTCTTATTTTTAAATTTAAAAATAATCCTCGTTAATTAATTTTTAAATTTAATCAACACTTCAATTCTTATTTTTAAATTTAAAAATAAAATCCAGGAGATATAGTATAATATTAATTTAGATTTCCCACTATCTAATACCTAATTTACTATCACAATGATGATTTAGAAATATAGGAGAGTTACTCTAATGAGAGAGAGAGGTATTCGAACAACTACGGTACATCCGTGATGATGCTCCTTCCTAGGGTTGGGGGCCCGGTCTTGTCCGATCCTAAAGATAGAGTCGGGCATCGAATTTTGGCTCAAAAAGACTCAGGCGGGCCTGCCCGATAAAAATAAATGAAGCCCGAAAAATGACTCGAACGTCGGCTCGACTCAAAAACCCCAACCCTACTCCTTCCTCTTAAAAATCTGCCTAAATAATTGCTCAACATCTGAATAAAGATGACACAAAAATAAAATTTCGCCAGGTCCCCTAGGTAAACGAAAACTTAAAAATATGACGCCAAAAAATTCGCGCCCAAAAACCTTTTATTAATTAATGTGGGTAGGGGATGGATTGATGGTAACTTTCTGTCCGTTCATATTTTTTGTAATAAATATATAAATTAATAAATCCAAGCAAGCCTTTGTCAGAAAAAATTAAATCGACGAAAAAATTTTTTCTTATCACTTTTTATCATTAGTTAAATTTCGTCACAATTTAAACGTCACCGACGCTAGACGCTAAAATAATTTTTTCATTCCTTTCATCATTTTCCCCTTATTTTTAACAAAGTTTTTGATAATTTTTTGACTAGAAATTAAAGATTAAAATAATTTTAAATAATTTTTCTGCTTAAATAAAATGAAAAAATTTTCCGCGTAACACTTGATAATTAATTTTAAAATTATATTTTAACCCTAATTAATTAGCTATTAACTAAGCCTTTGTTTTTTTGTGAAAACAAGGTTATATTTTTTATTTAAAGTATAAATATTTTTTGATATTTTGGTTTAGATTCACTCTAAAATTTTTAACATTTGATCAGTCTATTTAAAAAACTTAGTTTTCTTCAGAATATGCCCTACAGTTGGGCGGTATCAGGATCGGTATCATCATTCCAAAATACCAATGCTGATTTCGTGACAGTATCTTGATACCGCCCAACTCTAATATACCCAAAGCTTTATAGAAGACTTCTAATTTAATTACTAAGATTGTCTAATGTGTTGTTCTCATCCATCTAAACAAAAACAAAAAAATTTTTATTATAATTTATGACACATTCCAAGTGCCTTTAAGGGTCATACCGAACAGAATGTCCAAGGAATTTTTTTGGCTTGTTTAAGAAATCCGAGTATTTTCTAAGGAATGTCTAGTCCTTGTCAAGCTAAACCACCTAGAAAACCCTAGAACTTTTGTTTGATCTAAGTGATACCCTGCCTCTCTCCTATCTCGATATCATAGTTATGGTTATCCAAACACTCGTAAAAATATTCCGATCGAGCTCAAAGATTTCTCTCTTTAAATTTCGCGAACTGCCTCTCTCCTATCTCGATATTAGACATGTCGTATCTCCTAAGAACTCTGTCATGCTTTTTTGTCGAGAATTTTAATTCCTTCGAAAGGGGCATTCACTAATTCTCTCATACCGTAATAACCACCGCCGACTATATCTCTAATTTAAATTAATTTTTAAGCAGATAAATGAGATTAAACAGGAATTATTTCATTTCTTCTTTTTCCCCTTCAACAGCTTTTAATTTTTTAATTCCATTAATTCTGCTCTTAATTATATTTAATGATACAAATTCATCAGTATTTCCAAACAGACTTCTATCAGATAATCTAATATTAAAAGCACAAATGAGATTTAAAAGAGGTGCTGTTTTGTTTGATAAAATCGGACCTAAGCTTGTTAGAAACTCGGGCCTAGGCATCCCTCCCATGTTTATGCAGCTTCCCTCCCCCTTCCAGAGTATAGGGAGGGAAGCTGCATAAACGGGGAAGGAAGCGGGGGATCGCAGAAAGCGCATAAACGGGGGAGGGAATCTGCATAACCGAGTATTTGACCCCCAAGTATTTTAGTCCCATTACAAAATTAACAAAATTTACTCAAAAAATTTTAGATTTTCAACTGCCTTTACAACAAAATGAATCTCCAAATATTGATATACCACGATCAAAGAGAGGTGATTAAAATTCAATGATGTTACAGTTCATTCTAGGTGTTTATCACTAGAACTGTCACAAAATAAATATTTTAAAAAGACATTAGTCCTCATATTTCAATTTTGCTTGTGTTTGACCTCGGACCAGGGTACGAGTACAAGTAAAATTTCAGTAAACCATCTAATCACTGAAAACAAAATTTTATTTTTCCATTTTATACCCTTTTTCCTCCCATTTTATGAAGGTTATTTTGGTGGAGGCGTTATGGCTCAAAAAGCTCGTATTGGCACAGAAGTTGGGTACGTGTGTGGAAATCGGGGGGACAACAAAAAGTTGAACAGAATGGAGAGGTAACGACAATAGTGCCAACAAGCAGTTCAACAACCCCTTCTACTACAACAACAGCTATTGAGCTCGAAAGCTTTAGAATGCTCCAACTGGATGAATCGACTTCTCATTTTGATGAAATTCCAAAGATGGAAGAAACAAAGGAGTGATTTTTATGTTTATTAGAAAATAGGTTGATCTTTGGTCAAGGAACTTGGCCTCGATTGAGGTCACACTTAAAGCGCAACGTCGAAGTTTGGGAGCAGGCAAAGGTGCCGCAGAAGCTATAATTTCGTTCAAAATTGTCGGATCCGGGACGCACTGGCATAGTTCGTCTCATCTCGTGACGTGATCGAACTATGCCAGGGTGTTTCGGATTCGATCACTTTGAACGAAGTATTAGCTCTGCGGTACTTTGGGCTTGCGCTACCTTGGGGTGTACCCTCGAAGTTTATAAGATAGGAATTTGACTTTGGTTCAAGGGGATTTCAAATATCGACGAGTACCTCTCCTCTATACCTCTCTCTTGACCAAAGCACAATTAGATTAGTATTTTGACATTTAATGAATTATTAAAATTTATTTAAAAATTCATTTGAACTGTGATAAATATACAATAAAATTAATAATTAAATTTCTAATTGTGTTCACATTTTACGACTATTAAGGGCCATGCTTTATAGCTCTAGCATTTTTAACCATGAATAAGCTTGAAGCTTAAATCCTAACTTTTTCAATATTTTCTGCCTTCTTCCAATTTATTCAGCGCTGAATGTATTCTTAATCTTGTTCGAGTTTCAAGTCCATATCCTTTATAAGCCAGTGCTTTTTCTAAAAGAACTACTTTTTTAAGTTCTGAAGGATTAATTTCATCTAATATCAGTGCTAGTTCCAAATGAGAAATGGGAAATAAATATCCGTAATGGCCGTGACGAAGTGCTGGTGATTCGCTGAAACGTGAATTATTAAATTGGAATTAAGTTTGTGCTCGTCATAATCTCCATGAGATTATCCTCATGATTTTGATCATAACCACGTTTAGTAAACAGTTCTGGCTAAATTTTATCAAAATTACAGTAAAGAGATATCATAATCATTGATATGAAACCCTCGGCTGAAGCAAGGTACCTTGCTTAAAATGAATATCTTTAGGAAGGATAGCTGAAACTAGAGTTGATTAAGACGAGACCGATACCGAGATTCTCGGGTTTTTTCAATATCGGTCTCGGTATCGGGTTCTTGAGTATCGGTCAATCTCGGTCTCGGGTTGGCCGATACCAGTATCGTTTTGATCAACACTAGCTGAAACATAATTTCCACAGGGGACATAATTCACAATAATTGCCCTACCCTTGCCTAACTTAAAACCCTTCAGGAGGGATAAACCCCTTTAGGAGGAAAATAAAGCCTCTGAGAGTTAGAAAAATTCCCGAGAATTGCCTTAAGGTCACTCTTATAACGAGTTATCAACTTCAAATTAATCACCTCCGAATTATTTTTTGAAATATCCCAAATGCCTCATGAAACTCTCCCAATTTTCCCAGACATATTGCACGTAGAAATAGCCAAAGCAATTGTTCAGCTTTAGCACATTTATTGGATATTGTAGCTCTTTTGTTAAACTCTTCCCATTCTTTGTCAATAAATTCTAACAAAGGGCGAACAATCCAAGGACAGCAATAATTATTTAATAATCCAAAGCCGCTGCACAGATAGATTAATTCCTTGGGTATTTTAGAAATTTTTCTAGGCTTTAAAATTTACTAACAAATTGTGGCAAAAATAGTTTCTGTGGTTCTTCAGAATCTTTGTTATTGTTGTTCATTTGAAGCCATTTCAGAGCTCGTTTTTCACAAAATTTTTCCATTGGAATTGATTTGCCAGCTATTTTTATCCGATTTTCGGGTACCTTGCTTTAATTATTTTGTACTTTTTTAAACTCTAAGGACTCGGATGCTATGGTAGTTACGACTTTTAAAAACAGTTAGAGCTCGCTTCTGTATATCCCCAATAGCGAACTCTGTATATCCCCAATAGCTCGCTATATCCCCAAGCTAAGACTGCCAGGTCTCGCTTATTTATATCATCAACCATTTATGATCGAATTTCATTTCGATAAAATTCGTATCTGTTCTCGAGATAATGAGCAAGACTCGAACTTGTCTCGAAACGAAAATTCGAGCATTCCTGTCACAAATATTTAGATTATTTCGATTATTCGAATTTTACTTCCCTCAAAATTGAGAGCTATACATAAGTGAAATCCGACTGTGTCAGTAACCTCATCAAAATTCTCACAGCTTCTTTCTAGAATTTAAAATGATAAAATAATTTTAGCTAAAAATTTCTATCTATTATATACGTTTTTTGACATATCACCACTTTTATCAGCCTCGATACATACAGCCAAAAGATAGGCATAAATAGCTTTAAAATAAATTTTTTTTAATTTCAAAATTAATCATAACACACATTTTGACCATCTACTTTCTTCATAAAGTTTATTGGCATGCCAAGCAGCCCTAGTCCAATGCAATAAAAAGATATTTGTTACAGCCAATTCCCAATGACAGATATGATGAAATTGTTTATATTCTGATTGGGAACGAATTGAACGCCAATAAAGTTGAACTGATTCGTCTATATGCCCTCCATTTAATAGACAGTAGCGAGCGCGCAAGAAGAGAATTATGGCACCCTAAAGTCTTTGTTTTAAAATGTTAATATTTTTGGCGGAAAAATGAATATTCAAAATATCATAGTTGAATGTAGAGTGCGGCACGGGAGGGATCCGGACGGGATTTTACGGGATCCCATCTCAAAATCCTGGGTTTTTAGCGACGAGCGGGATTACCGGGACACAGTGATTAACGGGATTAATCCCGCTGGATCCCTCCCGTTCGATTTTTTCAAACTCAATCACGTTTCGGGATCCAGGAAATGCGATTTTGCCGATCTTTAGTTGAATGGCGGTTTCCAATTTGTTTGATTCCATCTCCCATGAAAGCTTGAACATTATAAGGTCTGATATCTGGAAGTATCTGTTCTGTCAGGCAGATCAGATCAGAATTCTTAATAATGGAGAATAGAGACTTGGCTTGGTGATCGAAGACGTTGGCCTTAGCATGAACATTATCTGGTCTGATATCTGAAAGTATCTGGTCTGTCAAGCTGATCAGATCAGAATTCCTAATAATAGAAATAGGGACGGGGCTTGGTGTTTGATCGCGTTGGTATCCCGAAAACCATGATAATCCAGATCTCCTCACCTTTGCTCTAACAACATTTTTTCAAAAATAAACCTTACCTTTGAATATTTTCCATTCAGTTTGGTAAATATCCTTTCACACAACCCCAAATCTATTCTTTCAACTCCAATAAGAGCTATTACAACTAGTTGATAGAATAAAATAGAAAATGAAGCAAAGGGTGAGCGTAAAGTTCCATCAAATTTAGAACACTAACAAATATTGATGTATTATTGGGCTAAGGATAAGAATTTAACCTTGATCAATTCTGAAATTCCTTTCTCCTGAAATAAAAAAGGAGATTAACAAATCTTTTCATCATGTACATCGATCATCTTAGCTAGATCCCCCTGCTTACGTTTTTAGAGATCTTAAGATTTTACTAGGCTGGTCCTCTAGATTATTTGATAAAACTAATTATGTAGCTAATTACGGACTGCCCCAAGTATAAATGATAGTCTAAGAAATCCCTTAGTCCTTAAAAAATTAATTTGATATGAACGATATTCAAACTTCCATAACAGTTAATACCGGAGTTGTCTATTGTCTAACAAAATTTCTATACCACAAGCAGGAGGCTTTAAAATTATTAGATCACCTTGTCACCATTTAGCCCAGCTAATTGCAAAAATATTGCAAGCTTTGCAGGAATTGAGGCTAATAATAAATTGAAAAGACCAAACCCAAAGCAAACCCCTGCCTCAAATTCTTGCCACAGTAGGGAATTATTCCTATGGTCTTCATTTTCCTTTAGAAACCGATAAAGTCCGCTAATTAATTTTAAGTAATTAATTAAGTATAATTAAATTTACGAGTAAATACTAAAGCAGGATCGAATGCGTAATAAGCCGCCTATTTTTCCAGTTAATGTTTCATCAGATAAGAGGCACAAACTTTAAAATTCATTTTAATTATAAAATTTGTCAGATAAGGGTGTTTACATAGCCCTAATCATTATCAGTTCTGCATAGCACAATTCGGCGTGTAATTGTTCTAAAAGTTAATTTTTAATAAATTCTTATGTCGATGCCAATTAAATTATTAATAGTTACAAAGATATAACCTTCAGTATACTCGCAGAAATTATAGTTATAACCATTCATTCGAAATATCAATTCTCTAAAATTATAATTAAATTATCAACTAATTTTGGTGAAGATAGTGGTTTATTTCTCATAAGTAGGCTTATCATAACCTGAACTTTCTTCGGATATCCGAAACCAACCCGAACCGAAAGATCTTCGGTTCTTTGGTTCGGTTCGATTCAGAACCGGCAACCCTACTCATAAGTATGTATAGTTTGTAGTGATGGTCGGGAGTTAAAAAAACCCGAGAGTCGAGAGTCGAGACCGAGACCGGGAATCGACCCCGAGACCGAGTCCCGGGTCGAGACCGAGAGTCGAGACCGAGAGTCGAGACCAAGAGATTAGGAAGGATACCCTCCCTCAGTCTCACATGTCCCACGGGACATGTGACACAACAAACCACACAACAAACGTTGCAAGCTTTGAAATAAATCCTCCTATTTCATCCATTTCCTACGCCGCAGGCGAAAATTTTGAAAATTTTGAAGGTCCTTAAGTCAGATTTCTTCCATTTTTTGTGCCGCAGGCGAAAATTTTGAAAAATTTGGGAGGCCAATAGCCAGATTTCTTTCTTTTTTACCGCCGGAGTAAAAACGCTGCGCCGCAGGAGGAAATTTTGAAAAATTCATGATTAAATTAAAATTTTTAATGTTTTTTTCAAGTTTAAAAAATTAAGAAAAAATAAATTAAAAATTTTAAAATCAAAGTTTAAAAACGTTTATTTCCGAAAAGAAAAATTTTCACAACCTCATTTCCACGTTAGGATTCGAACCCAGCACTTACGAAATATTTAAGTGAGTGAAGTCAGTCAACTTAACCACTCAACCATCAACCATCAAAAGCAAATGGGAGAAATTATAAATATATTCCTTTCCCCTTTCCTTCAAAAAGTTCAAAAAATTTCCGTCATTAGGGGTGTAAATTTAGTCTCGTTTTCCGAGACTAAAACACCGAGACCGAGACCGAGACCGAGAGCTCAAAAAACCCGGGAAATTTCCCGACTCGGGAACCGAGACCGGGAATCCCGACCATCACTAATAGTTTGAAACAATGTATATCTGTTGTCCCCTCCCAGATCAAAAAGCAGGCCAACGTACCGCGAGGCCAACGTACCGCAGAGTTATAATTTCGGGCAAAATAGTCGAATCCGGGACGCCTTGGTTATACCTCGTGTTATAACAAAGTTAAAGCTCTGCTGTACGTTGGCCTCGCGGTACGTTGTAGTTAACCCTCTGATCACGCTCTAACTAGCTCCCGTCGATCATAATTACCCATTCTAAGGTAACCTGAATTAATTAGCCTATCCTTTTATTTTAATCAGTATATCAAGTCAGTTCAGAAGCAAAATTTAAGGTTTTAATAAAGCGATTCTTACATTGTTCGACACTGCTTTCCTCTAAATTGTTGAGTCAAGGAAAGGCCACTATCAATAGCTTCAATTGCTTTATCAATATCTGCCCGTTCAAAGCTCATCAAGGCTCTAATCATTAATAATAGACCATTCCCCAATGAATGATATATAGAACAATCAACGAATTTTGCCAGCTTTTTCTCAGCCAAATCGAACCGATTTTCCAAAAATAAATTTAATGAAAGTTTGGATTCATCTATAGACTTTAACAGGTCCATTTATACAAATTTTAAGCGTATTCAAAGATAAAAACGTTAAAAAATATTTGTAAAAAATTAATAATGAAGCCAGAAAATGACTAGCTTATAATGTTATTTAAATACTAATTTAAATAAAAACGAGAGACAATTAGTTTGAGAAGTGAGAACAATTAAAGACAAAGGAAATGGTTGGCATAGCAGCGCTCAATTACCTAAATTAGTTATACGACTGTACGTATGAGGAGAGCAGTCAGCTTTTAAAAAGGTCTAGGAGTTTAACAAGCTATGAGTAAGGTAAGCTATGAGTAAGGTAAGCTATGAGAAAGGTAAGAGGCAAGCTATGAGTAAGGTAAGAGGCAAGCTATGAGTAAGAGGCAAGCTATGAGTAAGGTAAGAGTAAGGTAAGCAGGATAAAGCGGAATTTGATGAGCTTGAGGTACCGAGTAAGGTTGGCGGATAGTTGGAAATCTTCGGATATCCGGATCCTATATCCGAACCGAAAATTCGGATATCCGGATCCGGATATTTTCGGATCCAGATATCCGGATCCGCCAACCTTAGTACCGAGGGTTGATTTTTGTTTGGCAGCTAAACTTTTGATTAACTTTTTAAACTTAAAAATTTTAAAATTTATTGAACGTCAAATCATGAAATTTAACGATTTAAATTTATTTAATTTAATAATTAATATAAAAATTTAGATATGTGTGTAATAATATCCTTTAATCCCAAAATTATGGCTCTTTCATATTTACTTTATAATTGTCTTTTTTACGATTATGTATTGGAGGAGGTTTATGAACGTCCTTGTAATCTGCATTTTCACTGGAATTAAATATAAGAATTTTTATAATTAATGCTTTAAAAAATAATTTTCATAATAGGAAAGTAGTAAGAAAACCAGGCATTGTAGCTAAATCTTAATAGTTCTAGGGAAACCCTAGCATGTAAATATCAAGGACGAAGGAATATCGAGAAACTCTTAGTTTTGAACAAATAAAACATATTGTGATCAAACTCTGTTTAATTAAATGAATAAACTTAGATAGAAAAGCCTGTCCTTCAAAAATCTAGCATAGTATATAGTCCGAGTGTTATATATATTATCTATCTAGCATAATATTACTAAGTCGAATTTGCATTTGCGACGATCTAATGAGCTCAATATAACGCTGAAAGTTAACCGAAATTGGTAAAGTTCGATACTAGGATCAACATCTAATATTGTTTAGGGTCAATCTTCTAATATTGTCTACAGCTAGCCCCTAGTTTAATTTTAAGTTAACTAACATTGATTTGCTAGATATCAGATTCAACTTTCCAGCTTCTGACAAAGCTGCCAATATCAGTACGATTAATACAAGAATAATTATAAGCTTCATAGTTGTCTTGTAAATTTTAATTAAATATTTTATTAAATAGAAATTAGGATTTATTTTGGATATTTAAATTGTTTAATTATTATTTTAAAAATTGAAATTCAAATTTATTTTTGTTAGATTTATTTAAAATTAGCAATTTTTATATACAAAAAAATACTTCCTTTTTTCTGTAATTTTTGAAATTTTTGCAAGCCTTTTCTACTAAATTACTAAAATATTTTTATTTTAAAAAATGGAAGTAAAAATGAAAATTAATTTAAATACAAAAAATAATTATGCAAAGAATCCTTAGCTATCGTTATGTCTTAATAAAATAATTTTTAAAAATCGCCAAGTTCACAATCAAGATAACTACAATTTTTGAACGAGATCAAGTCTGGGTCCATTTCTATCCTTAATTGTTCACCAGATTGTTTCTAAGAACATTTCTTTGACGTGTATTCTGCTGTGCATTTTGAGGGCCATTATAACTTGATACAGCTGTTGTCTGAGTAACTTTAACGAATTGCCCTTTGACCAATTTCCGAAAATCGCTTGATATAATTAACAGACATAATTCTTCGATGCATTGGAGTAGATTATATCCCAAATCATAAATTATTCGTGTAGCTAAAACGATATTTGTTTGATCATCAGATGAATTTAGAGCGAATTGATAGGCTGCTGTATTCAAGTAATAAAAACCAAACA